ACATCAAACAACACCAGGGCCACTCTAGTGTGAAGGGACTAGTATCAGAATGACCTAATTGGGCTGAGGACTCATCCAGGGTCAATAAACTTGTCAAGGAGTGGTCTTGGTAACTTGAGCAGATTCCAGAGCAGGCTTAGCAACTGTTTGGGCTTTTAGAATTGAACGTTTTCAAAAGATTATGTACAGCCATTGTGTTCTGATGGGAAAATGACATAGAAAACAGGACCGATCAGAACACAGTAGTGTTGAGGAACAGTGCATCCAGCAATATTAAAGGCCCGGCCAGCTCTGAAGGCCATAGCCTGAGCACACTTCTGCCTGTGTCAAGCACCAAGACAAGCACTGGGGTCTGTCTCACCACAACTGTTCAAGTGCCTTTCAACTTTGTTTGATGTTGGTCTGTGGAAGGAGGTTGAGCCCCTTTGCACAAGTGCTTCTTGCTTTACATATTAGTAGTAAATGTAAATCCTAAACAATATTGTACAGGTGAATGTAGGCATATGCCCATAAAACAAGAAATGCTTTTTAAAAAGGCTGGCCGGGGCCAAGATGGGAATAGCTGGTTGGGTGGTGTGATGACAATGTGTATCAAATAATTGGTCACCATGAACTAATACTACATGTAATAAGACTGGAATTTAGATTCTAATGTACAATGTACTGATTTTACACCTAAACATGTCCATTCTGATTCAGCAACTGGTACTCACCCCACTTCAAATACATTGTACAGTATTTATTCATTGGAACTTTCTTTCAGTGCCTCAAAAAAACAGGGTGATCCAGATAGATAACAAAGAGATGAGGTTTCCCTCTATCCTATCATCACCCAGATGGAGATGACATGGAGGTAATGTGGACTGACAGGCCCAGCTGCCTGGTGGACACACATAAGTCACAGGGGCCTGCTGAAACAGTGGGGAGAACAGCTTTCTGGATCCTCACAAATCCCTACAATCCTCAGCAGGGGTAACATTTCAAGGAAGAAAGAAAATAGCCCTTTAGAAAGGGAAAGAAATAAATATAACATCAGGAAGAGGAAAAAGAACTTTGATTTTCTACCAATAAATAACTAGAAAGATTATCCATATCGCATCAGTTTTTGGGTGCCCAGAAGATGTCATCCATATAATCAAATCAGTACGGCCTTACCTACATATGATATAGGCACCAATCTACCTTGGTACCACCAATCTCTTATAAGCTGCCTACCATGGACAACCGTTTCACTTGAAGCGGAGCCAACTGTGATGGAGGCATTCACATGTATCAATACAAGATCAAACAATTTGTCAGCGAAGTGTTGCTGTGGAACCAGGTAATGGCAGCAGGAAAACCGGGATTACATGCGACAGTACACATCAAAGGACCCCGGCCGAGGAACGACAAACTCGCTCATAAAGCCATTGGTGTTGATGGGTGATGATTCGGCAATGATGACACAAATAGATAACAGGCTATCTGCCGCAATAGATCGGTTGAAAACACCGTAAATCAAGAGCTGCGTGTTGGTGTCCCAACACCTTTTGCGAATCTGTGCAAGCTGGTAGTTGTTAGGGAACAGACATCCAGATCGATGAGTCATACATCTCTGCGTGTCAGGACACAAACTTGACTACTGTCCTGTGTCCTGCCTACCTGTATGCCAGAACCATAGCACGCGAGGCTGTGACAGTAAAGATTTTCCTTCGAGCATGCTGGTCCAATAGCCGAGGAGCTGGCCATATGGAAACAGCCTGGCATCCGGGCTAGGGTCCTGCCTACCTGTAATATGACAGAACCGGGACCATAGCACGCGAGGCTGTGGTAAAATTTCCTTCGGGTACGTTGGCCCTGGAGCCGAGGAGCTGGCCTGTCTTAGGCCATATGGAAACAGCCTGCCTACCTGGATAGCTTTTGCGAAATAGGACAAAACTACAATGAATGTTGTATCCATATGCATTGCTACATATCTCCTTATGTCTGAACGCGAAGTGGACCTCAACCATATAACTCCATAAATCCCAGACAAGCATCGTGTATTTCCTGCTACTGAGAAGTAACCTGGAAGGGCAGCCGACAAAGGTTTATTTATTATGACAAGTGCCGTAAGCACAATAAGTATTTCCAACACAATCCACATATACACAAGCTCCCCGCCGAACGTAAACTGAGACCAATCCTTTAAATCAGAAACAATCCTAGAAAATCCCTCTCAAAACCCACAAATATTCCAGGAGCGGGACCTGGTAGCTTCCGAGACGTCAGGTAAAAATGCTGCAATACAAGTGGGACACAGAACGGTTTGCTAGGGTAAATTATAAATAACTAGTTGCCTAAGTGAAAGTATTTGGCATGTTTATGAGACAGTTGCTATTAAATATCAGTACAGCAATTATGACAACGTAGAAAGGACACTAAACGTGTGTAAACAGTAAACAGCCAACCCCCCCAAACTTCAACTTAAACGACCTTCAGATCTAGAAAAAGGTGACGGACTTTTTTAAAAGTTGTTTGTTTCCTGTGTAACATCGAGAAACTGCAGATGTTTTGAAAACAAGCGAGAATATCACGGGGCAATGTCGCTACTTTGATTTGGGCAAAGGGACACGTTTAAGCGGGTTGCAGGTTACCAATTGCGGCCAAACTATCCGCCCTCCTCAGCGCAAATATTTAGCGATGAAGGGACGTCTTTCTGTGCCTGTCTACTTAACCGCGGCGGAAGAAAGCGGCACCCGCCCTACCGAAACCAACATGAAAGCTGTACATGAAAAGAACAGGCATTTCTGGCATGACTTGAGTTGCATGGTTGTAGTGCTGCAGCTCTTGAGGCGGCGCACCTTTGGAACACCGAGCAGGCCGCGCGCGACAAGCCGGAACCTGTCATCTCTCCGACAGGCTTCGGGACAAGCCCCTGGTTTGGGAAACAATCGTCGTAACGCTAGTTACGCAACACTCCCAAAAAATGCCTTCTCTGCTATATTAAACGTAGAACCAACGTTAGAACACATGATTATCTTTTATTTTCAAATAACAAGTACAGACAAGCCTGCACAAGTGACCACCTGCTACCGTAACGATATTTTATTCAAGTTCCTTGATAGTTGATTGGTCACTACATGTAACAGACAGTTGAATGTTATTAAAACTGTCGCTCCAATTCCACATGTATACCTACTATATTAAAAAACGTAAAACCAACTAGCGGTAACGCAATGCTCCGTCT